ATAATACTAAGTAAATGTTAAGTAAAAACAGCTGCTACCTTTTCTAGTTCATGCCATTATTTAGCAACTTGAATGGAAAATACTAGTCCTGAGCAACACTGTGGTTTGATCGGACCAGCAGTTAATTCAAATCATGTTCTTATAAGAGTTCATTCAATCATCTATTTTACGGTATTTACTATTTATAACAATCCCTCAAGTGCAATTATATTTTTTTTGTTATTTTAAGTAGAAACAGGATTATAACTACTGCAAATGCAGGCTCAAGTTACCATTAACTGAGACCTAAGTGACAAGAACAATCCAGGCAACATGGCCTAAACTGGGATTCAAATCCCCTTGAGAAAAGAAAAGGAAAGCAGGAAGGGAGGAAATTCAGAAGGAACAAGAACAAAAAGAATATATTCCTTACCCCTACGTCTATCCTACGCTCTCAGCCCAGTCTTACTGGCTTAACACAGCTTAAAAGACAACTTGCTCTCCTCAATGATATGGATGAAGCCTTCTCGATCTCATTATTATACTTTACTAAGGGCTATAGTTGTTGCTAGGAAAGGCTATTCCTTGGAAAGGGATATCATACTTGAAGAGATGGAGGGAGAGTCAGCAAAAGAGAGGAAGACCCTCAACGAGATGGACTGACCAATGACTGGAGCAATGGGCTCCAGTGCGTCAGAGATGATGAGAATGGCACGGGCTAGGACAGGGTTCGGATTGATTATTCATAGGGCCGCTATGAGTTGTCCTTGACTCAATGACATCTCACAACGACATGAGCTACAGAGGGAGCTCTGGTGGCCTAGTGGGAAGAAATCATAGTGCAATCCCAAAGGCATGTAGTTCAAATCCACTAGTTGCTCTGTGGGAGAAGGAGGTGTAATCTCCTGCTGTGTGATTTACTGCCTCTGAAAACCCACTAGAGGGTCAGCTATGAGTTGGTTTTGACTCGACAACACACAATAACATGGGCTATAGTGTGACAGAGATGAAGGTGGTACAGGATACCAAAGGTTTCAAATCTAATGTTCAGAAGGTCGCTGTCATACTCAACTTGTTGGCACCTAACAACAACAACAACAACAACAACAACAAAATCCAACAGTGTCACAAAGTTAACTTTTAGTTCCTGAATATCACCATGTTCTTTCCAGATTTTGGGACTTTTCTCCTCAGTTCTCTTTACCAGAGAAAATTCCCTGCAGCTTTTAAACATCTTTTTTTGGTCCCATAATAAGAGTATAACTATGTGTTTTCATAATCTTTTCCTATTTCCTTTATTTTAACGTTCATCACACCTATGATTATTACTTTTCAATTATCTTTCTCACTGAGCTGCATTACTTATAAACAGAAGAAAAAATATGAATCTTATCACTCTATCTTAAGAGTTGTTATGAGTTGGAACTGACTCTATGGCAATGAACTTTAAGTTTTCACTGCTTTTGTTGTTGTTTGGTGTCAAGCTCGAACTCATAACCCCCTTAAGAACAACAAAAATAAATCCTGCTTGATTCTGTGCCATCTTCAAATGCAGCTATCTGAAGCTCTAACTCATCCTCTGCAGTAGCCCACTCCACTGAAATTATCAAAACTCATAATTAAGGCATACTGTTGTTGTTGTGTACCAGACTCAGAACTAACCCACAGCTGACTCTTCAGGTGGGTTTTCAGAGGCAGTTAAGTGCACAGGAGGAGACTGCCCATCTTTCTCCTGTGAAGCAACAGATGGCCTCAAACTGCAAATTAAGGGAGAGATGTTTACAATTCCCTAAGCCTGGTGGTGGAGGCATAACGTTTTGGGCTGCTGACAGAAAGGACAGAGGTTCAGATCCACTGATCATTCCACAGAGGGGGAAAAAAATAAAAGCAATCTCTTTCTGTAAAGACCTGCAGCCTCGGAAACCTGGTGAAGGGTCCCCGTGAGCTAGAGCTGACTTGCTGGCAGGGAGTTTATCTTAGAGAAGACCACATTCTGAGTTGCCCCATCTCCAATTTCATTAGCTAGAACTGTTAAAATGTACTTTGCATAATGTACACTAGGAGCCAAAGTGGTCAGTTAATTTAGCTCAGTGTCACTTTCCAATGCAGTCTCAGGATTCCACTCCTACAGATCATTTCTGCTATAAACTAAAATAGCCCAATTTATGCAGCTTAAAAGAAGAGAAATTTTCATAGTTATGGAGGTCAAAAGTTCAAAATCAAGGTGTGTGCAGGATTATTTTCTTCCTTCTAGAGGCCACCAGAAAGTTCTGTAATTTCTTGGCTTGAAGACGCATCACTCCTCTCTCTCTACCTCTGTGGTCCCATGACATGTTCCCTGCTTCTGTGTCCTTGAGTCTTCACATGGCTTTCTTAAGGACATGAGTCACTGGGTTTAAGGGCCCATCTTAATCCAGTATGACTTCATCTGCAAAGATGCTATTTCCAAATAAAGACAGTCACAGGTACTGGGGGCTAAGAATAGGAGTCACTGGGGCACAAGGGTTAAGCTGCAGCTGCTAACCATAAAGGTTGGTGATTCAAACCCATAAGAAGTTCTGCAGGAGAATGAGCAGTCTGCTTCCATAAAGATTTACAACCTTGGAAATCTCACAGAGCAGACTATTGTGTCCTACAGACCTTTTGTCCATACTGTCAGGCTCTATCATTCACCTAATCTGCTCATCCACTTTCTCTTACAAACACAGAGAAAGGGTGGTGGTGGCTGAAAGACACACCCTAGTCTATCTGGCTAACTTACCCTCTTCCTTTAAATTTCAGCTTACCAAATGCTCACTATATTTAATACATTGTATTCTCCACCAGAGAATTAGTAATAACTGAAGACTAAAACACATCAAATATATTTAAGTTAATAAGTTTATAATGTTATTTAAAAAAATCACCACCATTCACTTTTGGAAGATAGTGGTAAGCCAAGCCAAAGAATTATAAAATCAAATAAACAGAAAAAGAAAGCATTTAACCTCCCCTTTTCTAAAGGAAGCTCGCCACCTGGAAAATAGTTATTAGCTAGAGGGAAGATTCTCTAGGCAATGTGGAAATAAAAAGAATGACAAAATGATATTTTCAACCTGAATTAGTGAATATAAGGATTGATCATTGATGGTGAGACCAAAAAAGAGATAGAGGCAGGTATCATGCACCATGTGATAGGAAAACTGCCTTGCCAAAAGAAACAAATAAGCACAACGAAAAGAATTCAAATCTGAATCTGATTAGGTCTGTAGTTCATACTAATAGAGGAGATAAAAGAGCAATGTGTTATATAGCACTGACCATAAGTAAAATCCATAGGGTATTGTTTCATCCACAAATAAATTGCACAAAAGGATAAATAAAGACTAAAAGAGATCAATTTCTGCTTGGCTCGTGCCCCACCCCCCATGCAATTTTAACTTAATTTCTTAAAGTCAAAGTGGTGATTTCTTTCTTTGGATGCACAGTCACAAGTCTGATGAAGATGGGACGTTCAGTAGTCACTTTCTCTTAGGTACTACACTGGAATTTGTACAGGCAGTCTGAATACCGGTTCTGTGTACCTATAAGCTTAATGCTGCTTTTGTTGGATGCCACTTTGACTTCAGGGAGAATAAATCCCATTTAAAAAAGAAAGGCTAAAAAAAAAAAAGTTAAAAAAAGATCAAAAGGCAGCACTTAAAACAATGAGTGAAGCTATCTGGCTCCTGATTCAAATAAACAACAACAACAAAAAACGTAACACTCATAAGGACTTACTGTGATTTCTAAAAAATCTTATGGCCACCATGTAGTTATGTTCGAAGTCTGAGTGCCTCATTTCTGAAGATATATAAAAAATACTTATAAAGTAAATGGCATTATACCAGGGTTTTACTCCAAAATAATTAAAGAGAAGGGAGGATGAGTTTGAGTATGAATAAAGCAGGACTGACTATGAGAGGTAGGGAGGTGAAGACAGGTGATAGGTTAACTTCATTGTTTTTCTATTTTTAAGGGGGAGGAGGGGTCACACACGCTACCAATCTATTTGTACCAAAAACCAGGATGAGATTTTCTAGAAAAGTTAATTCATGAGGGCCTTCCCTATTGGTGACAGTAGTTTTTAATATATTGTTTATCGTGCCATTCTAAGACTAATGAAAAACTCAAAAAGCTCACTGCCGTCAAGTCCTATCTGACTTACAGCTGACCCTCCTTTGGGCTTTAAAGGCTTAGGGTGTTCATTTTACTCCCTCAGAGCTGCTGATGGGTTCACACTGCCAGAGAAGCAAGATCTTTAGGACAGTAGGGCAACTCACTAGGTACTATGTCAGCAGTGCTTTCTAAGACCCAATCAGCTAACAGAAACCTTTAAAAGTACTGGTCATTTAAGACCCCTAGCAGCAGAGTGGTTAAATGCTTGGCTTCTCATCAAAATGTTGCTGGTTTGATAGATCAAACCATGTATTTACCTACTTTCCCTGTGAAAAACCCCAAAATCATCAACTAATATAAGTCACAAGTTGTTAATATATAATCAAACTTAAGAAGGCTTGATTTATATTGAATAGGGGCAACAATATTAACACCACTGAACTGAATGTCCCACAACGATACACTTTTAAGTCTTGTGCTATGTTTGTGCTGGGCCAATTTAAGAGATTTGGTATTTCTTTGAAATGCCTTGATTTTAATTGCTCAATTAAATTTTTTTCATCAAATTCTTAACATAAATTAAAATAGAGGTAAATAGTGGCTTTAAATTGAGAACAACCATAAACCTTTAACAACAAACTTCGTAAATTAAAAGTAGTTTAGACTTTAAATATATATATATATATATATATATTTTTCCCCTAGAAACTAAAAACGAAAAATACTCTTCAAAATTAACAAAAAGTGATGCTAAAGGGAGGGGAGGGAAAGGTACGCCATTCAAACCAAAAGGCGTTTTCCATAAATAAGAAATTTTAATTTTTTAAACCTAGTGATGAGTCATATAGGTTAGAAACAGTCACATGCAAGCTCTGGAAACTTACTTCAGTTTCTCCTCTTCATTCAATGTCTTCCACAGTTCTTCAATTTGTCCTACTGCATCCTTCAAATTGGTCTTGGAATTTTCCATAAGAAATTTAGCACGATGATCTTGAACAAAAAAGTCCCTTGCTGACATGGGTTTCTTGATTACGCGATTGCTAATTAAATCATAAGCTGTAAGCTGCCCAGATTTGTCATCTACCATGTTTGACTTTTTGTTACTGTGATTTTCACAGAGATTCTTGGGTTCAGGATTTGGATGATTATTACTACATGTTAAGTCTCCTTGTGGTGCTAAAATTTTCACAGGTTCAATGTTCTCTCCCATTGAATTTTTAAGTACCTTTCCCTTGCTCCAGTCATCTGCGAAGATTTCCAGAGACGTCTCTGGGACTGCTGCTCCCTCATTTTCCTCATTCCCATCTACATGACCTTTACTGCCGTTTTCCAATTGAATGTGCTTGACAGAACCTCCAAAATAAGTTTCATGATCTTTGCTTTGGGCATCCTCACATGACAAATTATTTGATGGACTCTCTTGAAACGGATTTTTCGTGTTCTTATCAATGCAAGAATTTTCACTGCAAAAGTCATCAAGATGATTATCAACAAGTAAATGATGATTTGTACAATTATTAGTGTTTTTTTGAGGTTCATCATTCTGTACATCATCTTGGAAAGGAATGGCTGACGTATCAACATTTGGATAATTATTTCCAGATGATTCCATGTCATTAAAAAGCACATCTGTTTGTACTGTTCTATTAATAATCATGCCAGCTGAGGAAACATCTGTTTTATTATTTTCACAAGAATTTGTACTAGGTAGTGGTCCATAACAAGTTGTCATTAGGTTTTCAAGAGCAATTAAAACAGATTCCTAAAAATACAAATAAACAAATGTTAAGAGGATATTATGAAAATCTTCAATAGCAACAAGATTTAAGGCAATAAAAAAGTAAAAATTTTTTCACATGAAAAATTATTATAATTTCACAAGTTTGTAATCAGCATAAATTAATACAAAAATAATCAGGAAAAAAACTTACCTTATTCTGTAGTAATACTTGACTTTTATCTGGTGTTAAATTTACATCCACGTTAGCTGTAGGTACATCAATTTTTAGAAAGAAAATGGGATAAAGACGAGAAGATTCTTTTAGGAACTTTAAATTGTAGTAATGCCGAATTAACTAGAAAAAAAATGAATAAAAGACAAAACCATCATGTAAATAAAGATAGCACTGCTAACTTTAATCAGCATGAAAAAGAACAGAGTCAACTGAGAAACTCAGTGAAAGTATCCATTTAGAGGTCAAGAAGTTATGCACACTCCTAAGTACAAGTATACACTTCACAGTTAAGGGATACAAATATACAGCTTCCTGGTTAAGGGATAATAGTGTTGTGAAATCTTTGTCAGCCTAAGTTGTAAATTCAAACTCTGCTAATTTCCTGGTTACGAAAACTAAAAAATTCACTTAATGTGACTTATTAATTTACCCACCACATATATGGATAATATTAGCAAAACATTTACAAATTGTTATTATGGCTCCCCCCCCCCTTCTTTTCCTTAATTGAGGGCAAATTTTTGGAAGTAACATTTTGACAGCTCTCAGAGGTGGTTCCTATGGATTTAGTTTTTTTCATTACGATATTACCTTTAATACCTCTTTTTGATGAATTGGTCGATCATTTATAAAGATGAAACTCCTTTCAGGAGTGGAAAGACTTGTGAGAGAGTGATCTGCATCGTGCTTTGGAAGAAATCCACTTAGAGAAATCTATAATCATAACAGAACAGAATTAACTGAAAATAATACAATGTCAACAATAAATGTGGTTCCATGGATCTGATTACTCTACAAAGTATAAAAGACAAACAGATTTTCATTGTAAGGTGTGATAAGCTATTTGCCTTACATTGAAAAAAAAAATGCCCAAGCACATGCAATGATGTCTTCTGCTCTTTACCACTTCTATGTTGGAACTGCACTTTAAGGACAAATCACAAGTCATATAATCTTCAAGAATGATCACCCTTTTAAATGTTTATCTTTCATGCAACATAGAGCATAGCTACCAAATTCAGTGCAACTCTATTTTTCTTTTAAAATTATCTTCCCTTAAGTTAAGACTTTTTCCTGGCTGTTTAGAGGTTTTCTTTTTAGTCACCTTTTCTTGTAAAGAAGCAATTGTTTTAGTCTTTATATCGAATATGTGTCTTTTTATATTTAATATTTTTAATATATCCCAGCTATAAACCCAGGAATTAGGCTTTTCTTTCTTAAAAAAACCCAAAAACCCAATAACCCCCCGCCCCGAAACCTTTTTAACTTCTTCATGGTTGAACACTGATTACACTACTATAGTTTATCTTCATTTTTGTTAGATTATCTTTTTACCAAAATTCTGCTGATCAAGATAAAATCAAAGATAAAATACACTGCATCTTTCTTTATTTTACAGAGGTATGGGGGAAGGATATCCTAGAAAAGAAACCTAGAGAGAAGAGGTGGAGGGGCTCATTAACCTAGTTAAATGCAGAGGTATGTTGAGAATATAGTATAAGAATTGCTCCACTACTAACTAGCTTTGTGATCTTGGCCAAGTTATTTAAAATATATGCCTATGATTTCTTAGATGAAACAACAGGAATGAAATATGTTATTAATTGTTAGAGCAGGAGTTGTAAAATTTCAGCCTTGAGTAATGGGGAAAAAGCCAGCAAGCAGTTAGGATGCTATTTTTAGTTAGGCAGAAATTTTAAGGCTCCTTACCCAGAAAGCCTGAAAGCTGTCACCAATGCCTATGGTTACCTCTGCCCTTGGAAAGAAGTAGTAAGGAGACGCACTACCAATTTCAGAACACCAAGTACATTACTGTTACAGTGTCCAATTGGAAAAAAAAAAATCCAAATATTGCATTATAAAAAGTAACCACTTCATTAACTATAAGACTTCACAACATTCATTAATGGTTATTTGCCAGGTAATTCGGGATCCTCTTAAACCACCTGCTGAGCAGCAGAGTCTCAAAAGTCAGTAAAAAAGACTTACATTTGCTCCAAATAAAAATGAAGACTGAAATAAAGTTTAAAGTCCCAATAACAGGATCCATATTTCACATAAGACACAAAAATCAACTCAAGGTTGATCAGAGACCTGGGAGTACAGCCCAAAACCATAATGTCCATAAGAGACAAATTGGGATCAAGCTTAGAAACACTAGTCCAAAGAACAAAGACACAGCCAAATAGAACCAGAAACGCACAATCTGAAGAGGATAAAAATTGACACTTGGGACATTCTAAAGATTAATCCATATGTGCATCGAAAACTTTCCAACAGGATGAAAAGAAAACCTGTAAACTGGGAACAAACATTTGGAAATACCATCTCAGAAAAGAATCTTAGAACTAAAGTTTATAGAAGACTGATAACCCAATTACAAAATGGGCAAAAGACATAGAAAGAATTTTCACAGAGAAAGCTATTTTAATGGCAGACAGACACATGAAGAAAAGCTAGAAATCACTGGCAATAAGAGAGATGCAAATCAAAATCACAATGAGGTACCAACTCACTCCAGTAACAGTGGCAAAGTTTAACAGGGCAGCAAGTAATAAGTGTTGGAGAGGATGTGGCAAGAAAGAAACTCATACATTGTTGATGGGATTGTAAAATGGTACCACAATTCTAGAAGGCAGTTTGGTGCTTCCTCAAAAGGCTGAACACAGAAATTCTGTATGACTCAGCTATTCTACTACTTGGAATATATCCTGAGAAAATGAGAACTGAGGCACAAAATGAGATTTGTAAACCAATATTCATAGGAGCATTATTCAACATCGCAAGAACATGGAAACAGTCCAAAGGTCCAACCACAAATGAATGGATTGAGAAATTATGGTACATTCACACAATGGAATACTATGAAGCATGCAGGATCAATGATTTTGTAAATTATTACCAGTTTGGGAGGGACTGGAGAGTATTATGCTGAGTGACCTAAATCAGTCCCACAAGGATAAATATTGTGGAAAACCATAAAAGAGAACTGGGAGAGGTTGGAAGTAGAGGGATGAGGATATGCAGGAGGAGGGGGAGATAAATCATGAGGTTGTACAATTTGACGGGGGTGTGTGTGTGTGTGTGTGTGTGTGTGTGTGTGTGTGTGTGTGTGTGTGTGAGGGAAATGGAAAGAATTTGTTCTTGAAAACAATGTATTTGAATTCTGTAAATCAACTATTAGAAAATTTTCACAAAAAAAAATTAGAAATTTTCACAAAAAAATCCCAATAAAGCAAAAACTACTGAATAATTTTGTTAATGTTCTTTTCATATTGTTTTGACTATACACAAAAAAACTCTGTTACTTCTAAATACTGACCACTGAATATGACTTAGGATAAACTTAAGAATTACCAAGTTAAAAAAAAAAAAAAAAAAGAATTACCAAGTCATATTCAAGTTATATAGAAAAATAAAATGGAAAAAATCTTATAAAATGCTAATAAAAAGTAAAAGGCATACTTGTTGCTATTAAGTTGATTCAGACTCATAGCAACTCAAGTGTCAAAGTAGAACTTTGCTCCACAGGACTTTTCAATGGCTGGTTTTTCAGAAACAGACAGCCAGGCTTTTCTCTGGAGGTCCTATGAGTAGATTCAAACTTCCAACCTCTAAGTTAATAACCCAGGGTTAAACAGTTGTATCACTATAAATTATGGTGGGTCTATGAGTTCTATCAGGGTCATTTTTTCTTTCTATTTACTCTCCTTGCTGAATTTCATCTATATCTAGAGTTTCAATAACTACAGATACACCAGTGCTGCAATGATATAGCTCTATCACCTCTAATTCTGTAATTGTATCCCCATGCTTACTATTTTCAATGGGCTGCTACTAAAAATTTCTGTTTCACTACATTCTAACAAAAGAGAATATTATTGTATTCTACTTATACCTTATGATATGTACAAGTGATTCCTTTCATGAGTCTTGGGAGATGCACTGGTTAAGCACTTGGCTGGAGACTGAAAGATCAGTGGATTGGATCCACCAGCTCCTCTGTAGGAGAAAGATGTGGCCATATGCTTCCATAAAGATTACAAACAAGAAACCCTAGAAGAAGTTCGAGTCTTTCCTACATAGCTGCTATGATTTGACATAAACCCCAAAAGCAATGGGATGACTTACTGTATATTCCTTTACCATGATAAAGAGCGATGCCATTTACTCAGTCTGTCAAACCCATTACCACTCTACTCCAATGCTCCTGAATAACCCTGTTTGGTCTTCTAGCTCTGGGGAGTTCTGCTGGCTTACTGGGGGAAAAGCTGTGCTATAAACCCAAATGGGGTTCAAATTCACCGCCTGTTCCAAGGGAGAAAGGTGGGCAATCTCCTTCTGCACAATTTACAGAGTCTGAAAATCCACTGGTGGGTTAACAATAAGTTCATTCCAACTTGATAGCTTCTATTCCAATATACTTATATAACTCAGAATTTATGTTTCTAAAGTAAACATGTAACCACTTATCATCAAGATAGTGGATTAAATTTATGTAGCAATTCTTGTCTCACTCAGGCTAACAACAAATACTTAACTGTAACAGATTAAAATCCATTTAAAAATATTTCAAAACCTAATCACATATGTTGGTGACCTTGAATCTGTTGGTTGCTTCTTTAATGGGGAAGTATCTTTCAACAGCTCCTTTCTGTAAAATACTTGTCTATTAGATACTGTTCTAAAGCTGAGCATTAAAATAAAAAGACTTGGAAGGACTGGTCATCCACCTCTGAAATAATAGGCCTTTGAAAACCCTATGTACAAGAAAGCACACTTAACAGTAGACTAGTAGCTATGGCAACTGAGGCTGAGCCCTCAAACATGGAAACACAAAGAAGGAGGAAGAGTTGTAAACAGACACTAGTGATTACAACAAGGAATGTGAGAATATTATTCATACTTTGTGCAATTAAGACTTTGCTAGAGATAACTGAAAAATAGTTGTAAAAGTACACAGCACATGGCCAGGAGAGATCAGTCCTTGGAGAAGGACATCATGCTTGGAAGGGTGGATGGACAGTGAAGGAGAGGAAGACCTCGGATGAGATGTATTGATACAGTAACTGGGACTATGGGGGTTAGTGTGTCGGAATTAGTGAGACTGGCTCAGGACAGTGAAGGATTCAGAGCTGCTGTACATAGGGTTGCTGTATACTGAAGGCAGGTGACTCAACGGCACATAACAACAATAACGTACTATGACAGGTTTGGAAGCAGGAGTGGCATCCACTTTCTAAATAAAATGCCTCCGAAACTCTATGAACTTTGATAAATGTTGACAAATATGTTGTTGTTGATTGCCGTTGAGTCAAGCACAACTCACAGTGACCCTACGAACAAAAGACCTGAAGCCTTTCTGTAACTATTACTTCTCAAAGTTCATAGAGCTTCCAGAGGCATGTTTAGGAAGTGGATGCCACTCTGGCTTCCAATCATATATAAATAAGAAAAAACATATTTATGGATGTAAAACTATATAATAGGAAGTGATGGTAAAAGTATAATGTTCATGGGCTGCAGGATCAGAAACAAGTTGGGTCAGCTGGAAATGAAATTCTCATGTTCTCTAATAAGAAATTCATGCAAGACGGGACTGAAATCAGTCTTTCCATTTCAAACATTGGGTTTGGATACAGTCCTCTCCCACTAACAAAAAGCTACTTAAAAATACTGTGACCACTGTTGCGAGGCTGCTTGCCAGGGTCACA